TTGTGGAGAGTCTCTGAGAGACTGACTCGATGCGTCGACTCAGGAGTGGCGGACAGAGAAATGGGTGTTTTGATGGATCGGTGATTGAGTATAAGGTGGTGATTTGGAAATGTTTTGATGATTGTGAAGTTCTTCCCAAGCTCCATTGAAGTAGATGAAATATTAATTTATAACGTTTTTGGCTTTTATATGCAGTATATTGTTGTGTGAAAAAAGAAAAAAACATTACTATATTTTTATCTTATCCAATTAATTTCCTTGTTTTATATTGCCCCTGTTTACTTGAAAACATACAGGTTAAAAAAATTTTGGCAATTACATATTCAAAAACAAAATTTGTAATTACAAGTTAAAAATATTTTTCAAAATATCACTCTCAAATTTACATACATATTTTTCACATTTATGAGGTTCAAATCAGCAAACAATTACAAAGGAATTACTGGTAAAATTTTTTGTAATTACAGGTTACAAAAAAAATTACAATTTCCCAATAAATTTCTTACAAAATACACACCTTATTCCTTTCCTTGGAGCCTTCAAGCATGTATGAAGTGCAAGCAGAGTGTGTATTTATAGTGCAATGCCATACATTTTTACAACCAACGGCTACTTACTTTTGGAGTCAATACTGTAACGGCTGCTTTTGGAGCCAAGATATATATAGGCTAATGAGGGCGGCTACTTTTGGAGCCAAGATACAACAGCTAAACAGGGTTAGTTGATTTCACTGAAAAAGTAAGGGTAAACATGTCATTTGAATACTGAAAGAAATAATTTAGCTAATCAAAATAAAGTCAAATGAGGATAAACATGTTATTTGAGTCATTAAAGAAATAATTTAGTGGATCAAACCAAAATTAAAGGGTAAAAATGTCTTTTAATATGTAAAAAGTGGTTTGATACACCCGTTAACTAATTTTTGATGGTGTAAGTGAAAAATGGTGTAAATGTTTCTAACGTGAACGATAATTATTTTTCCAAGATGTTTGAGAGTAATATTCTACAAGGGGGTGTTAGTGAAATTATGCTGAAAAGTCCAAACAATATAAACTTTGGGTTCAACTGGTTCTCTTTAAACTTCTCGACTCCTGACGGTGGGTTGGTTTGGATTAGGGCTCATTCACTCAGTTTCAGTGGAAACCCTAGAATACAACCATAAATTTTTCTTTTTTGCCATTCATCGTCTTTATGGAAGTTGTGAAGGATCAATGGGTTCCTTCGACCGCGACTGTGACTGGTTCAAAGCTCAGGCATTGAAAGCCCATGGGTCGACAACGCAGCAGCACTACCGAAAGAGGAGATTCAGAGACTGATACTGTAAAGATTGATTACCGAAAGAGGAGATTCAAAGACTGATACTGAAAAGATTGAGCCACTAGACTCTTCATTTGCTCGTACTTTTCGTAGTGTAAGTCGAAATTCAATTGAATTCTCATTTATTAATTTTGTATCATTGAATTATTATGTATTTTCTGAATTTTGGTGTTCTCAATTATCAATCTCATGAATTTGTGACATGAGCTTTCACTGCTCTAGGATCCCTTCTTTATGGTTTAGTCATCATAATCCATATTTTGTGGGGATTCTTATTTATTAAGACAATTTTGTAACTTGTATTTATTGTTTTTTTAACCAATTATTATAATATTTTGGCCTATTTTTTTAAATTTTTTTTTTTTGTTTTTTAAATTTTTTTTTTTTAAACTTTACCCTAATTTGTTTAGATTAACAAAGACTACCTATTTCGAGGTTGGTCTGAAAACAGAGCATTAGTCGTAAAGTCGTGGTCTGATTATTCATATAAATTGTTGCCCCAATTTGTCTGAACAATTGAGAAATATCCAGTATTTTTAAACTGCTTTGATATATAGAACCAAACAAGTAATTTTATGATGTGGTAAACTTACATGGTTGTATCCACCTAACTCTCTCTTTAATTTGCTTGGGCCAGATTTCTCAGTTTCATTCGAACAAGACTTTTGAACGTAGTGAGCTCACAATTCCTCTTTGTGGAAGTAATCACTAGAGCAGCAATAGTAATGATGTTGAAGAAGACGGCAGCAGTTTGTGGCATTTTGAACATTCACTCCCATTACTAATGCTGAATGAGGTAATAGGCAAAGAAAACATAAATTTCTTCTGCCTCTTGGATGGTCGTGTTCATGGAGTAAAGATGCCTCCTGAGTTATGCGGGGGGGCCTTGTGTTGGATCTTCCCATGGTTGGCTGCTGATGTATGATGTTTTTCCTACTAAGAGCAACACTTTTTTTAAAAATATCCTCATGTTGCCAAAGAAAGTTCAGCTTGAGAATTTCCTCTTTAATCCATTCAATAAACACGCAATCCATCTTCCATCCCAGACAAGTATTCCATTTGATGGTTCTGACCATCAAAGCTTCATTCAAAAAGCCATAATTATCATGTGCGCCCACTTCAGATAACTTAGCAGCCGGGAAGTGCATCGTTGTGATAATATGTTCAAGTGGGATATTGGCTTTCTGTAAACCAGGAGACGCATCGTGGTCCATCTTGGATAGGCCTGATAAAGAATTTTCGTGGTATGTAGATGTTGTGTTCTATGAGGAAAAGTTATATGCCATCAGCAGTGACGAGGACCTTAGCATCTTTAACAACTTAGGAAGTGGTGAAATAACAAGAATCAACATGGTTTCTCCTACAAATCGTGAACCTGCTGTTCCTTTGATCTCTGTGGATCGCCAGAGTGTTTGGCATGATGGTCTTACTATATACTTGGTGCCATCTAATGGGGATTTGATTATGGTTTTGAGGTTTTGGAATTCTGAACCTGAGTATGATGGACAACAATTGTGCCCTGCCCGAACTGTCCTGTTCAAGGTGTTCAAGTTAGATTGTAGCAATCCACAATGGGTTGAGATCAAGAGTTTAGGGGGATGAAATGCTGTTCTTGGGTACAAGCTGCTCAAAATCTTATTCAGCTGCTAAGCTTGGGTTCACACGGAACTCCGTTTATTTCACAGATGACAATTTTGATTCATATGTTCAGGATCTAATTAGACCGAGTGAGTTACGGTGACTTGGGACTTTTTCGATTAGATAAGGGAAGCATTGATACATGCTTTCTGAGCAGGTTCAATTCATTTTCCTCTAGGTTCATATGGATTGAACTTCCCTGTGTTGACTGAATGTTCATGTATTATTCAGACTTAATGCAATGCTTTTGATGTCCATCTTCCTTTCGCATTAACATTCTTTATATGAACCAGCTCATTCCTTGGTCATAAGGTCTTTACAAGCTCCGTGTTGTGTTTTTTTAAGTTTTCATACATATACTTGTTGCTGGTCGTTCTATCCACTGAACAATTGTTTGGGATATAGAATGTGGAAAGCATGTTATGTGCGTGTAGAAGAATTTAGCGTCCATGTTGTATTATGAACTGTTAGAAAACTTGAGTTTCCAATGGGGCTGCAAGTTGGGCTGGTCCAACCCAGCCCAGTCCCAACTAAACCTCAACCCGAATCGGGTTGGATTGGGCCAATCCGAATTGTACCCAACATGGATTATGATCAAAACTCAGCCCGAATTTTTTTTGAATCGGTCGGGTCGGGTTGAGTGTTTTTTTTTTTTTTTTTTTTTTAATTTTTTTTTATTTTTTTCGGAAATATATTTGATTATATTATTATTAAAAAACAAAAAAAATCTAGCGCAAATCGTTTCAGCCTCCCAAATTGCCTCCAGGATTCTAATATTAACATTTTAGGATGTTACTATGTGATTTTGTTACAGGTTCCTCTCATCTTTGGTATTTGGGGAGGCAAAGGTCAGGGGAAATCTTTCCAGTGTGAGCTTGTCTTTGCCCAGATGGGAATCAAGTGAGTTCATGATTTCATAAATCTTGTTCTGTTTTTAAATAAAAGTGTTCCTTACAGAGAGAAACTAAAAACTTGGGATATTCAATGACATTGTCAAATTCTTCTATGGAGATCGTGTTATGAAGTTCAATTTGTCAAATATATTTCAGATCTAGTCACTTGCCACTGGGAAGTTTGTGAAGACCAAATGACAAAAGCTCGATGGAAGAGACGTGTGCCTGAAAAAATACTCGAGCCTAGAAGCAACTTTGGATGTTGTTTCTTGTGTGCCTTAACATACCCACCATGTCTAGCCAGAGCTAGGTCTTTTTTCTTGGGTTTGATTCACAAGAGAAGGAGGTAATGTGGAGTGGACACGTGGAGCCAATGGAGGTGTGAGGTTTAGAGGGAGGTGGTGCGTTCCAAATTTGCCCCTACTTAAAGAGAGATTCTAGATGAGGCATACCACTCGAGGAACACCGTGGATGTACAATGATCTTAAAAGAGAGTTCCTGACAAAGGGTCGGTTTGGGTGAGGGTCTTTAAGAAGGTTGTGAAGGATCCCTTTTTAGGTTTGCTACTTTAATAGATTTAAATCTGAACAAGGTACAAGAAGAAATGACCAAGAAAATTTACATTGTGGGGGTCATGTCAAGTTTTGTCTAATAATTTAATTGAAGGATGGGCATTACTTGGTGGTATTATCCAACTTTCATGTGCTCATGTTTGAGTCCATCACAAAAAAATAAAAATAAAAATAAAAAATTAATAAACTTTGTGACGGAAGTATAAAAAGACTTCTCTTGTATTGGACAATATCTTCCACCTAATTTAAGATGGTCTAAATCCTCTAAGTTAAGAAAAATAAATAAATAAATAAAATTATTGTCCTTGTGCAAATAACCCCTAAACTCCAAACAGCCCTCCTGAATTAAGACAAGAGCCAAGAATGAAACCGAAATAGAGAGGATGGAGGGGTAAAGCTCCAAAAGAGCCATTTCGAATGCAGAAGTTCCTCATTCCATTTATGTGTATTTGTTTAAATTTCCATTTATGCTTTTTGCACATAAAATAATAAAAGTTATTATACTTGGGTCTAAACTTTTTTACCAAAAAAAAAAAAAAACCATATTTTTCATACAATATATTCATGAAATATTAATAAATTATTTTAATAAGAAATACATTATTTTCCTGCAATATAATTCATAAACACTATTTACACTAAAATCCAAATATTAAAATTCAAACCAGTATTAAAAGCTAAACTCAATAACAGCTTATAAAATCTGAGGAGATTATGTTTATTTATTTATTACAATGGCTTCCACACTCACTCTCGGTTCCTTGAATTTTATTTCAAACTTTATCAAACAGCATCTACTTCTCAGGGGACAAGAACCAAGCTCCAATGCCATGCGCCTAGTGCTAATCCGATGAGATGATCAACAACAAATTTGCAGCATGATCCCAGAGCATTCAGTATCACCGCTTCTACCATTCCCCAGCTAGAAAAAACGAGAGATTAGATGTATTAGTAACAGTTACAGACACATTCATGAAACTCTCTTAGAAGTACGACGAATAAATAGCAAAGAAAAGAATTGAATTATCTTAGAAGTACGAACAAACTAAACATTGAGCAGCCAAATGCAGTTGCGGAGGATTAAATAATTTCCATTTTGACACTTGCAGGTAGACTTTCTTGGAGCTGCATGGCACGCTCTTTTGCATAAAGTTTCTTCTTGGTTTCCTTGAACACCGGCGGTCCGCTTGTAAAACATACCCAGTGACGATCAATGGTAATCTTCTCCAAATTGATGGCATTCTTCATCAAGTATTTGGCAAGATCAAGGTCAATAAGACGGCCAACAAACCCAGCCAATTCCACCTCCTTTAGGCATTGATGGGGGCGGTTGCCAACTTTACGCCTTTTTATTTCATGCAATAGTATTATTTCCTTCCCCCAATGCTCCGAATATCGTAACTGTGAAACAGGAAAGTGGTGAATCATGCTTGTTTAATATAATGAGTAATGCCTATTTAGACCTATTTGTCTAGCCAAGAGTGTATCTGAAGGGGTTTTTATCCATAATGTAGTGGATATGCTAATAAATGTGGATCCCATTCACTACATCAAAGGGATAGTAACCCTTTGGTTATACAAATAGGTTTGAGAAGTCGCCTTAAGAATTATTTTCCTTAAAACATATAACTATATATATATATATATATATTCCCGGTAAGTTCAGAACAAAGACTTGTAGCAATACTCTTAAAGTCTGTTAAAGAAATGGTACTGCACAAAAAAAAGGCATTTCAAACTCAAGGAAATATACCAGCCAAACCAAAAGCAGTCCCAACGCATTTTGATAATCAACAACTAAAACAGGGGCAGACCCACGGAGTATTAATGGAACAGTTACGATATCCAAACAAGCACTTCATTACAAATAAGCAACTTACTATTATGTTGTTAAACATGAGAACTTCCGATTAAGTTGCTTTATATTAAAGCGGTATATTAAAAGTTTCCATGTACAAAAATTTTGTGCGCTTCACACTACAAAGAATAGTGGACAAATATTTATAGCATAGCATTCCTTACTAACTCTATACATTTTAACTTTGATCTTCTCCTATGTCACCTTCAATGTGAATCATGTCACTCTTCCGAACTAGCTCACTTAATGATCTTCTTCTTTGCACATGTCGAAACCATCTTAGTACATAACCTCTCATTTTGCCTTCAATTAGTGTTACTTTAACCGTCCCATGGATGTGCTCATTCCTAGTTGTCCTTTCTTGTCTTACTACGCATAGACCATGACATTCGGATTACAGCCGCACTCATATTATATATATGTTGTTTCTTAAATGCCTAACATTCTGTCCTGTAAAGAACAAAGGGTGTATTAGTTGTTCCTTTTTTGATAAGTGAGTGTATTAGTTGTTTTATAAAAGTTCTCTTTCAATCTTTTAGCGAGATATACAGATCAAACAACATGCTAAATGAACTCCCTTACTTAACCCATCTTGCCCTGATTTTATGATCAACATTATCTCCAATTTAAATGATTGAGCTAATATAAAGTAACTATTCACCTTTTTGTATCTCAGGACCCTTAATCTTCACCACATACTTCTTTAAAAACCCTCTTAATTCTACGGTTGTAAATGAGCCAAGTTGTTCACAAAGAGACTAGGCTCGATAAAACTCTGATCGTGTTGGTTCATTAAGTAAATGAACCGAGCTGAAACTGTTTTCTGAAGCTCGTCTAATAAATGAGCCAATCTCAAACTCCCATGAGCTCGGCTATTTTGTTGGTGAACTGAGCTTGTATTTATGTTTGTGAACTAACACCAAATAAATATATATAAACATATATACATGTAATATAGAGAGTATAATATATAAATATATATATATAGGCAGATTACGTTACATGGACACTTCAAAATTAGTGAAGTACTCATGTCGGACACATATTGCTTGGACATGGGTATGGGATATGTGTCCAACACTTGGGGTTGGACATGTATTTAAAAAGCATATCCAATCATTCAATTATATTATATTATTACTTTACAATGAGTTAACTGTATATATTGAACACTATATTGGATAAAAACATTACTTTATTGTAAAAAATTAAATAAAATGAATAATTAGTAGTGTCCATGTGTCGGAGATGAATGGATACATACTCGTGTTCGACACACATATCCAAGTCCGGATAACATAGTATGGAGAGTCAAATAAAAATGAAAAATATCTAACACCAAATGAATTATTAAATCATTTTTAAGTGGCTTCCCATACATGGTCTTCGAGATCTTCCACTTTAGCTAGACTAGAGTCTAGATATTTCTCAATATTTCTCTTCTCCGTTCTCGCATACACTCACCAAATGAACAATTTTGACCTTGTTTTCACATACACTTGTTGATTTCTCAAGATTTCCGCTTGAAGCTCAATGCTTATGGTCTAAGGAATCCACAATGATACTGACGATTCAATAGGCTACACGTTATTGTCCATATTACTCTGAAAGACGGTGAGTTTCTCTTCTCTCTCTATAAATCTCTCATTTTCAATTTATATTCATCTCTCAATAGTTTCTCTGCTCTTTAGGATTTTAATTTTTACTCAAATCAACTTAAGGGGTTTTATTTCGAATGTTGCTGGTCATAGGATTTCAAACTACGGCTTCTCATTTTATGAGAGAGAGTTTTCAAACAAGCTTGACAATGATCTCAAGCTTGATAATAAGCTTAAGCACGGCTTGTTATATAAAATGAGCTAGGTGAGCCAAGCTCGAGATTGCTCACTTATGTTAGACCTGAGCTCGAACAATAATGTAGAAGCTCGATCAAGCTTAAGGCGAGCTCAAACACTCTTGTAAAACGATCGAGCCAAGCTCAAACACCCACTACTCAGCTCGGCTCACTTACATCCCTACTTAATTCTAATTAATTCTAAAGTTTCCTCTAAACCTCCAATCAGGTTCTCTAGAATCTCATTAAGTGAGAGAAGAAGGGGTCGAACCTGCGACCAGGTGAACCATGAATGGAAGATTAACCACTACGTCTCTTACTTCCCCTGTTATTATATGCACAATTATAATATTTATTGCATCTTATGTACATTGCATATCTATCGAACGTATAGCCTTGTAAAGTTGTAATGCTTAATATCAGAATGTAAACCCTTGTAATGCTTCTTCAAACCTTATAATACATTAGATATATAATTATATATAATCAATTTATATTCTCCCACATTCAAAAAAAAAATTATTTTCTATTTTCTATTTTTTTTATTTTCACTTATAAATGATGACTTTTTTGCGATATAAATGTTATATATGTTATGATTCATAATTTTCTCAACACTTTAACTTGTATTTTATTTTTCATTTTTTAAAATTGTCAGAGACTCAGATCTACTTTTTACTTTTTGTTTTTTAATTCCCACGTATTATATATGCCTTGAAATTTCATTTATTTCACACTAAAATTTATTTTTATTCATTCATTTTGTAAAACACTTTATGTGGGCCTAATCTGACCCTTGATGCATGCCTACAGTAATTGAAACGTCAATTGTTTCCCACATGCCATCTATACTATAGTCACACATCTATCATACATATCCTTTCTGGCATCAACATATTACTTCGAGACTTTTTTTCGTTTTTCTTTTTTCTAAAACACTTCATTTTAGATGCCTAGGTACATTATCATAGGCTTTCTCTAAATCGATAAAAACGATATGAAGATCCTTTTTCTGTCTCATTAATAAGTAAATAACCTCCATCAAAGACCTCCCAAGCATGTATCTAATTTGATCCTAAAATGCTAAAATTTCCTCGCCTTAGTTAATGTTTAATCACTCTCTCTTAAAGTTTCATAGTAAGACTCGTCAATTTAATACTATGGTTATCTTATATAATAGATAATCTGAAAAAAGTTTTATATTTACATATTATTGGATCCATGCATAGTTGTTAAAGGTTCAAGGCGCACAAAAGCGCAAATGCCTCCCAGAGTCTGAGGCGCAAGGCGCAAGGCGAGGCGCGCGCCCGACTGAACCAAGGCGCACGTTGAAAAAAAAAAAAAACAAAACCCACCCAATAAAGTATTATAGATGCAATAGTATATATAAAGATGCAAAAGTCAACTAAATAAATTACTTATGTTAAATATTCAAGATGCCAAAACCTTGATATCCATGTTTGCTAGATGTAATTCTACGAACCAATATTAAAATAATATGTATATATATTAGTTAATTTCATTACCCCTGTCCATATATATTCTTGTAAGTTTGTAACTCTGCTTTTCCTGTGGTTTTGTATTTGCACAGACCAGAAAAAACCAAATTTGGTAAGTGTAGACTGATGCACCTTCAACCTTGATCTTATATTGGTGACAAGGTTAATTTAATGATGCAATGAAGACCTGCAGTTGTGTGTGTGAGAGACTGTGCAATTGGGATTTCAAGGAATGGGTGATGTGATGATCCAAGTCTGTTCAACTAAAGAAATTTCATGCACAAAGCAGAAACGCATTGATTGTTCTATATAAAGTATGAAGTAAAGAGATTCGGATTATTTTTTTTTGACAAATTTAGGTGAGTAAGCCAACTGCCAACAAATCATTATCTCACTAATTATCATTATTCACTAATTATCGGCATATTAGAAAGATGAGGCAAAATAAATTGTGACACAATTAAGTTGAATCAACGAACTAGATTACTAGAATCCATTAAATCAACAAATTAAAAATATCAGTTACACTCATATATCATTGGGAATATATCCTATTAAATCCACAAAATTAGAAATAGGAAAGTTAAATTAGAGAGAGCCAAGAGAAGAAGAATAGAGGAAAAATAAAAAATAAAAAAATAAAAAAAATAAAAGAAGAGGAGACTAGAAAGAGCCAAGAGAGAAGAATAGAGAAAATAAATAAATAAATAAATAAATAAAAACGAAGAGCCTAGACTCGGCTCAAAGAAAAAAAAGAAAAAGAAAAATGAGCCTAGACTCAGCGCAAAGAAGAAAAAAATAAAAAAAAATAAAAAAAGAGCCTAGACTCAGCTCAAGGAAGAATAGAGAAAAAAAAATAAAAAAAGAAGAGCCTAGACTCGGCTCAAAGCAGAATAAAATAAAAAAATAAAAAGAAGAGCAAGAGAGTGACTAGAGTCACTAGAGCCGAGAGAAGAAGAAAAACTGAAGAGAAGAAGAAGAAGAAGAGAGAAAAAAAAAAAATTGCCGAGAACTGAGAAGAGAAGAAGAAGCAAGAAGGAGAGAAGAAGAAGAAGAAGAAGGAGAAGAAGAAGAGAGGGAAGGAGAACTTACCAGGCTTCGGCGCAGATGCAGATCTGGCAGATCCAGTCTTCGGCGCTTCGCAGATCACTCGTACTTCTCTCTTCTCTGTCTCTTCAGTCTTGACTCTCTTCTTTCCACTTTCCTTTTGCTCTTTTATTCCTTTCTTTTCTTTTCTTTTTCTTTTTTTTTATTTATGCTTTTTAACTTGCAAGTTGTGTAGATTTGTAATAAACAAATAAAAACAACAAATAAACAAATAAAAAACAGATACAAGTAACACAACCAAGATAATTAAAAAAAAAAACCCATTTTTCACGCAGGCGCGCCTGCATCTCGCCTGTAGCCTTGCCTATCCCAAACCACTCGCCTTAAGTCAATCAAGGCGCCAAGGTGGCGCCTGGAGGCGCCTTGCGCCTCAGGCGCGCGCCTTCGGCGCCTTTAACAACTATGGATCCATGTTGTGTTTGTATGCTACTTTTTACAGAATTCACATGGTGGTGTATTCATATTGTACCGTTTACAAGTCTCATGCCCGTGTTTGTTTTATTTAAAGAATAACTAACCTTGTATTAAAGCAATCATCATGATTGACTCTATAAAAACAATACTGAAAGTATAAGCAGAATAATAAAATAAGAACCAGTCTCCCTTTGGCTTGGTGGCACTGGTTCTCAACTTCCAAGCCACCAATCAAGGCTCACAGACTGATAGACAGAAAAAGGAATAATAAAATAAGAAGCAAAAAAATTCTTTTCCCTGATGATAATATAAAAACAATAGCTATATGTACGTTGCAATACAAGATATATATAACAAATAAACCTGTTCTAATACATACTCAAATATTTACATGTTATTGATGCGACAAAACACGTGTTATAACACAATCAAGTGACACAATAGGGCCATAACTTCACATATCAAGGGTAACTTACAAGTTATAATGCATTGCAATATACTCCCTCCATCCCAAAATTCTTGTCTATTTTCAATTTTGTGATGCCCCAAAATACATGTCCCATTCCAAAAATAGATGAACTATTTTTATAACATTCCCAAACTATCCTTTGACATTGACTTGATGCACTAATTACGGAGTACTCTTTTGTCTTTTAGTAAGGATAAATTTGAAATTTAACCCTTACCCAATTAAGTTGTATTCCCCAAACACCCCAAGAATTTTAGGATGGAGGGAGTACATTATTCTCTACAACAATTGCTTTGGGTGATGTTATATTGGCCCTCCTTTCAAGAATACACTTTAGAAAATTTTCTTACACAGAGAAAAAAATTTATTAGAAAATTATTTCAAAACAACTTCACGGTTCGCAGCGAAAGAAAACATTAAAAGTTGATTCCTTTCTTTTAGAAATCTTTGGACTTGTTGCTGCCTTTACTAAAACATAAACTCAACTACAAGGATACTCAATAATGCACTTAATTATGCCCTCTTCCGTATCTGAGAAAGACTGTACGTAAAGAGTTTATTTGAGATTTAATGCAATTATAGAATTCAAATATTATGAAGTCTAAACACAGTTTCTTGAAACTCTAAAAGAATCTCACAACCGTTATTCTCAACGTGTATGAATCTTCAGCTATACATCAAGTTTTTGGTTGTAGAACATTATCAAAGTGTAAATGGTTTCAATTCATAATTTTGTCTCAACATTAAAGATCCATAAAACTAAATGACATATTTATATAGCTTTGTGTACTTCGAGTAAGCATTGATATTGTGACCCTCTCATGCCTTTCTTTATGGAACTACTATAACAGATTACAAAAATCTAAAATAACATACTCCGTTAGTACAAAACTGAGATTTACGTATTAAGCAATGACCAATATGGAAGTATTTCCATTGTGAAATGATTTTACTTTTCTGTTGTCTTTCAACTACAAGTAGATATGATACAATGTAATTCACAAGATGGGACCCACAGAGATTTTTTTTTAATGATCTACAATTTTATGATATTTGTCTAAAGATTAGAAAACTTTATAAAAAGAAGACAATTATCCAATGCAAGTAACTTCTGTCCATGGCCGTTGCTGTCAGAGGAACACACGAGATATAATTATCATGTGTCATTATACAAAACACCCATATACAAAAATATATATATTTACCTGCAATTTAAATTTGTGCAGCAAAGGTGATGCATTTATCAAGGTCGTCCAACCGAGAAGGCTTGAACATTAGTCTGCCACAACTTGCAATGTCAAGTGTTTGAGCTTGGTAAATTCAGGAAGTTGTTTGAATCCTGGATTACCCTGAAAAGCGAAACTTATCATAAAATAACAAAATTAAAAATGTTACTACCCAGTGTTGGGGTTACGTGGGATGTTGGGAGGATTTACTCAACCCAAACCTAACCTTTGGCATAATTTTGTAAAAAAAAGTATTTGCAGTAATACGTGGGATGTTGGGAGGATTTACTCAATCCAAACCTAACCTTTGGTATAATTTTGTACAAAAAGTATTTGCAGTCATACTCAACCCAGTTTTCTAGAACTTGACAGTTCCAAGTTTTTAACATAGCACCAAGCAATGATCACTATTCTATGGTAATCCTCACCGACAAAAACAAAAAACAAAATAATAATAATGATAAAATAAAAAATGATCACTATGGTAATAACTTTAGAAGATATTAAATCGCGCTCCTGTTAAAAATTGATGCACTATTTTCGAACTTTACAGAGAAATTTATAGAAGGAAGAAATATTGTCATATAATAAGTACTAGTAAAATTGTCTTTCTAGAAAAAATATCGTGTCAAAAATATATGTAGGAGAAAATACTAGATACATGTACTCTAGAATTTTGCCCATGGAAGCTATGCTAGTAAGCCAAGTCTTCCAATATCCAAAGCCTTGTACTTGGAGAGCAAGTGCTCCAATCAGTAAAAAATATTCTCATGTGTTGTACCTCTCATCCTACTGGCTTCGTGTTCACTATTCCCACCTAAATTCATTCCAACAGCCCATGACACAGAATTGCAATAGAAATATCAACTAACCTTTCCCCAACGAGTCATTTGCATGCCCAACGAAAGATTCTCGAGCTGCGAAAAGTAGCTTGAAAACGGGAAAAAAGCATTGTCTATTTGCACAACAAAATCTGAAGTACACACCTCAGCAAGCTGGAATGCATCCTTAATTTGCATATTTATTTTATCGCCCTGACCAAAATATTTAAATGACACAAGACTCGCAGCACAAACCTCAAGTTCCATCAGATGGGGGCAATAGGATATCTCCATAACCTTCAGCCGAAGTGAGGAGCCAACAACTTTTAAATTCACTAAATCTTTCGAGCTTTCTACATGTAAAGATTCGAGAAGAGGACAATTGGAAACGAAGTATTCAAGAATTTCTCCACTTATGTTCACAAGCTTAAAACAGAGGGATCTTAGGGACCTAATGCTGGACAAACCCGCAGGAGTTTTGATGTGAATATAACTCCGGTTTGTAAAGGTATATGCTACAGCATTTCCAAAAAAGAAACATGGTTTCAAGTCCACCTCAAGCCTTTGAACTCTCTTTGCTATTGCAAACTCAATCCATCTATCAATGTCACAACTAGAAAAGTTATTCAAACAAAAGGAAACTCTAAACTCATCTATAGTTGAACCAAGATGTGACTCCATGACTTTGTTCACCCAATTTATGTACCTAGATCTTTCTACTTCCAGTTCCTCTCGATTGGATTCAAGATGCAAAATTGTTTGTAAAGCATCAAAATTTAGAACCCTGCTGTATGACCACACATGTTCCCATCTTTTTGAGAGTACACGAGTGCGTGCGGCTTCTCTAATTCCCAGAAGAGACAGAACAGAAACAAGAATTTCATCAGGCAGCCGACTGATCCAATCTTCCATGTAGTTGTTACTCTGATGAACCAAAATAAATTGCAAAATAAAAAAAAATAAAAATAAAAAGTAAATACGAACGCTTCAGCCAAAAACAATAGCATAATCCAATTACCCAGAAAAAATAATAATAAAAAATAAAAAATAATATGTACTTTAACCAAACAAAACCAGATCGAATTACCTTGTGTTTTTTTGTGCATTTAGAGTTGGGCGTTATCATCCTTTCCCTCATTGAACTTGATGTTACAGTTGTTTTTGCCCTCCTACTACTCATAATTTATAGCTAAATAATCTCTGCACAGAGTACCCAAAAAAAAAAAAACAAATACAGATTAAAGAAGGAGCTTATCAGCTTATGACTACTCTAAATCTAATAGAAATTTATGAAAACGAAGAAAACACAGAAATCAGAAAAAGAGACTCACCTCAAATCGAAGATTCAAAATAGGAGCCCTAGTGTCTTGAAGCCCTATCTCTCCTTTTTTGATTGTCCGGAAACACTTTAGCTCTCCGGAAATACTCTGCATGCACATTCCATAGAGACATGGTCGGTACTGGGTATACAAGAGAGAACACCAGTGACGAGAAGGAAGTCCAATAATAAATTCAACCTAATACGGAGTAAATTCAAACATAATTTTCTAGCATCTGATACTCAAATTAGTGCAATAATACTCCAGTTAAACTCAAATTAAGTTGGGAGTTGGGCTCGGATTACTATTTCAATGAGTTGAGTATTATTACTAGTATTGATATAGATAGGGTTCGAGTAAATGAGGTTTGGTTTAAATCAATGGTTACTATTTCAACGTGGATATTACTAATATTGAAGGTTGATTTACATATACGATTTACTAAAATTGGACTGGTATAGTCCGTAGCAAATTCTCTAAATCACTTTATCCTACTGACAGGTGTATATTATTTGGGATAATTTACGCAGACCTCCTTTATGGTTTGTCATAATTACAAACGGCACTCTTCTTGTTCTGAAAATTACGCAGACTTTTCCTACTTTTTAAAATATCCTACACGGACCTTCATAGTTTCTATAGATTTATAATCTTCTCTCTCTTTCGCCGGTGGCTATTGTTTGACGCCGACAAGTATTTCCAACGCGGGTGAGCTTCTCTATTTTCAGTGGTAGTCTCTTCAAATTGGTATTCAGTATTCCTTTTCAACCAATTTTAATGTTTTTTTTGGTTCAAGTAAACTATTATTTGAGGTGATTAGGGTTTTGAATCATGATATTGATAGTTCAAAGTGAAAATTTGCTTTTGGAGAAGATGACAAGCTGATGTCATGCCTACCCAATAACTGAGAGGGGTAGTTTCGTAATTTTAGATGCCAAGGAGAGGGTATTTCAGTAATTTTGACAGCTCCGTGAGTGTATTTGATGGTCCGTCATAGATAAGGGAGGTCTGTGTAAGATATTTTAAAAATTAGGAGAACTCCGTGTATTTTTCGGAACAGGAAAGGTGCCGCGTAATTATGGCAAATCATAAAGGAGATCTGTGTAAATTATCCATATTATTTGGCTTATATTTAAGGGAAAATTACATATAAATGGAGTCAAAGTTCCATATTTACTTAGAAACGGAGTCAAAGTTCCATATTTCTCTAAAATGGATTGCTGAGGTGGCACATGGTTTTTTACTGTTTAGAAAATTGTGGTGCCTATAATGCCCTTCCCTAACAAAAAAGTAGTACCTTCAGTGCAAAAAAGTAGTACCTTCAGTTCAAAAAAGTAGTACATTCGGAGAAAAAGTAGTACCTTCGCGGGTGTTTAAAAAACATGGTACTTGGACGCCAAAAAGTAGTACCTTCAGTTCAAAAAAGTAGTACCTTCGAAGAAAAAGTAGTACCTTCGCAGAAGGGTATTTTAGGCACCACAATTTCTAAACAGTAAAAAACCATGTGCCACCTCAGCAATCCATTTTAGAGAAATATGGAACTTTGACTCAGCCTCTAAGTAAATATGGAACTTTGACTCCATTTATATGTAATTTTCCCTGTATTTAATCACGTCTTTATTTATTTAAATGTCATTGAGATCGTATTTGAATGCAACAATTACACAAAATAGCTTATTTTATAATCATTATTTTTATTTTCAACATAAATAAGTTATTCACATAATGCCGATTAAATAATGTCACCTAGAAATGTAACTTAATTCAACATATTATTTATATTATTATTTAAAATTAAATTTTAGCACAAAATAAAAAAAATAAAAACATAATAAAAATTATTGTCATAAATTAATTTAAAGAGTTTTCCAAAGTTCGAGTCGTTTGGCTACCTTTAGAGTTTAGACAATGGTTAGTAAAAGAATGAAAAGAGTGATCGGTCTTTTGTTTTTTACAGCTTAAAAACGACGTGGTTTTGAAGGTAAAAAAAATTTGTGGGCCCGCTGTAGCCGGACTTGCACTTTTTGCTCGCCAATTTGGGCTACAGAGAGTCCTCATTCTCCAAAGTCCAAAACGTATAAACTTTGGGTTCAATTGGTTGTCTGTTTAAATACCTGGACTCCTGAGTCCGTCATTTTTTTTGGTTGCAATTCATCGACTTCATGGAAGTTGTGAAGGATCAATGGTTTCCTTCGACCGGGACTGTGAATGGTTCAAAGATCAGGCATCGAAATCCCATGGGTCGACAACGCAGCAGCAGCAGAACTACCGAAAGAGGAGATTCAGAGACTGATACTGAAAATATTGGTCCAATAGACTCTTCATCTGCTCGTGTTTTTCGTAGTGTAAGTCAAAATTCAATTGCATTCTCATTTATTAGTTCTGTATCATTGAATTATTAAGTATCTTCTGAAATTTGGTGTTCCCAATTATCAATCTCATGAAATTGTGACATGTACTTTCAAGCCTGTCATTGTTCTAGGGTTTCTTTTTTGTAGTTTAGTCATCATTGATTCATCATGATCCATATTTTGTGGAGATTTTTATTTATTAAGGCATTTTTTAACTTGAATTTATTGATATTTTAACTAATTATTATAATATTTTAGTTTATTTTTTATTTTTTAAAAATTTCAAATGGTTAAATGTTGTGCTATTTAGGACCAAATATTATGAAAATTTCAATCATTAAGTTCCCAACTATGCCCTAATTTGTTTAGATAAACAACGACTCGACCTATTTCGAGGTTGGTCTGAAAACAGAGCATTAGGTATAAAGTTGTGGTCTGATTATTCATATAAATTGTCGCCCCAATTTGTCTGAACATTTGAGAATTATCCAGTATTTTAACTGCCTTTGATACATAGAACCAAACATGGTTCTATCCAACAAATTTATTAACTTTCTCTTTAATTTGCTTGTGCCAGATTTCTCAGTTTCATTCGAACAAGACTTTTGATCGTAGTGAGCTCACAATTCCTCTTTGTGGAAGTAATTGCCACATCAGCAATAGTAATGATGTTGAAGAAGATGGTAGAAGTTTGTGGCATTTTGAACATTCACTCCCATTACTAATGCTGAATGAGGTCATAGGCAAAGAAAATATAAATTTCTTCTGCCTAGTTCTAGGATTCATGAATAATCAGACTGCATTCGGTGGTAGTGGCTCCCTTTTCTTTTCAGGAAAAACACTCTCATGTTTTGCATCACTTTGGAGATAAGTTGAAGATCCTTATGTAATGTCTGTGTATTTATGTGCATAGGTTTATATATAATGTGTATTATGTTGTGTTATGGCTCAAATTTAAGCAAAAAGTTAAAGGAAAAAGAAAATAAAAGGTGGTGGGACCTACCATTAAACCAACTAAGGGCCAAGAGACCACAAATGGTCTCATTTCTCTCCTTCTCTCCCGTGCGCCTCTCTCTTCCCCTCTTCCTCTCTGTTTTTCTTTTTATTTTGATTTCCAAAATTTTGAAGCAAGATCTTGATCTCATTTCTTATCGAAATTGAGTGCCGTTTGAGGCAAAACGAAGCTCGTGTCAAGCTCTACACATCCATACAAGCGATTTCAGATTTAGTGCACTCCTTGGAGTTTGAATCTTAGGACCCATTTCTAGGGTTTGTGAAGAAAATTGGGGTTTTTGCTCAATTAGAGGTAAAGGTGTCTAATTCACACTTTTCTTGTACCTTAGTGAGTTATTCCTCTAGAATTTTGGCCAAACATGCTTGATTTAAGGTTGATTGCTTTAAAAATGATTTAATGGTGCATATAAAGATTTTATATATGTGTGTTTGTTGACTTATGTGATAAGCATGCTTAGTTTAGATGGATTACTCCTTAAATGATTTAATTGTGTATGTGAAACATGTATCTATGTGTATTTGTTGGATTGTATGGAAACTGTGATAAATGGTTGATTTATCATGCTTATTATAATGTTAAATATTTAGTTGATTGTTGTGAGCATGTGTGGTAAATTGTGGTATTAAATTTCCCATTTTATGATATTGTCACGGCATGACAAATGTTAGAAATCCCTTATATTACAACATTGAAAGTATGTGGCATTCATGAATTCATCATTGGGGATTGCACGTATGGAAATGACTTTTAAAAAATGAAAGAATGGGGATTTTCGGGAAAGCGTTGTTGAAAAAGTTTTTTTTTGTGAAACCCGGTCGCCGCGGGGGTACCAAAGGGCTGGAGGTTAATATAGCTTAGAGGGGACTAGGGAGTCGCCCTAGCGTGGTTGAGCTAGCTGGGCCCCATAATGACGCCGCGGGGTTACTAAGGGTCAGGGACACTAGCCAATCCTCCTCTCGTGTCGCTGCGGGGTCACCAAAGGGCGGGTTATATTAACAGTTTGAAAAGTATGGTTGTTTTCTGAGAAATGGGGAGTGACACGCATATCATAGCATTCATGGCATTTTACATATGATTGTTTGGAATTGGAATTTAATATGTGTTTCCGTCATTTTGCATGACCCCTCTTCCTATTGGCCTATGCTTTGTTTGGATTCACGGGGCTACAAGAGGTGCGTCTTAGGCACTCTCTACTGAGCTTTATGCTCACCCCATTTTATTTAACATTTTCCAGGAACCGGTGAGGAGGTAGTGGATGCCGATCTTCCACAAGCTTAAGGATGACTTAGAGCTCATTTTGCATCTTTTGTATATCTCCCATTTTTGTAAGGCCCCAAAAGTGTAGTAATGTGTATTTATTTTTTTTCAAAACCATGGTTAGGTAATATAATTATATTACTAGATGATATTTTGGATGTGAGTTTGATATCATGTAAACCTTATTGATGCATGGGGAGAGTAATACTAGTTTGAGGTATTATCGAGGTCATTTGATTGTGTATCATGCCGATCTTCCACAAGCTTAAGGATGACTTGGAGCTCATTTTGCATCTTTTGTATATCTCCCATTTTTGTAAGGCCCCAAAAGTGTAGTAATGTGTATTTATTTTTTTTCAAAACCATGGTTAGGTAATATAATTATATTACTAGATGATATTTTGGATGTGAGTTTGATATCATGTAAACCTTATTGATGCATGGGGAGAGTAATACTAGTTTGAGGTATTATCGAGGTCATTTGATTGTGTATCATCATCTGCTATTGCCGTGAATTCGGAATTTGAGCCATGACAGGTTAAAAATGCAATTAAACAGGTTGCGGTAGGTCCATTTTTAGGGGAGGTTATGCCAAATTTTTTAAAAAAAAATTTCTTGGCATTAGTTTTGGGATCGTTACACCTTAGAAAGTACTAAAATTGGTGGTGTCCTTACCTGGGACCATTAGTTCCATCTTCTTCATCTACAAGTTTGATGTTGGAACTCCTTCCAAGCAAAAGGAAGCTCACCAGGCTCTTTCTGCCACCCTAAGCAGACTACCTCATCCCCAAGTCAGATTCTGTATGCGGTTTCACCAGCTCTGCTATGATGGCTCTGTCACAGTTCTTGATGCCACTTCCAGAGGAGTCACTTGCAACGGTGAAGTTCATCAAGACCAAATAACAAAAGCTCAAAGGAGGAGATGCGTGCCTAAAAAATACTTAGGGCCTTAAGGCAAAGCGACTGAAGGCAATTTTGGAGGCTGTTTCCTGTATGATGTCAAGGACTAAGCTTTTCATATTAATGCACTACTCTTGTTGCACCTCTGCTACTTGGAAGGCTCTACCTAAGCAGCCGGGGAGAGTCCAATTTGGTCAAAGAAGTCCATGAGCTCGGGTTTTTTGGAATATGTCTATTCGTAGTTCAGGATTGTCTAATTCTAAAGCTTGCAGCTTCAGAAGGCTGATATTTGTAAGCTGCTTCAAATTTGTGAGCAAGAGATCACTGTTGCTGTTGTTCCTTATGTTGAGAAAACGATTATCCAAGCATCTGATTTCCTCAGAACCCAGCATCACATGTGCTCGAACGGCTTTGGAGATTTTCTCTCTGCTTTGGAGGATTCTCATTTTAGCTTCCGATAACTTTATGGCCCTTTCTGTTATCTGTTCTTGGAAGATCGACTCCACTTCATGGCACAAGGTAAAAGTCAAGGCACTCAAAATGTTAAGACAAAACCAGAGTTCCATTATTCTTGAGAGAACTCTTGCTTCATGTCTGGTAACTTTTTGGCCCCATTTACTACACATTTTCAAATATTGCATCGGTTTCCTCTATAGTACAAGGGAAAGTTGGTGGCTTTCTATCTCTTGGCTTCTTTTTTCTTTTCTTTTTTTTGCCACCAACTGTGGTTTCTAGTGAGAGAGACATATATATATATATATATATATATTTGGTATGATTCCTGGCAAATAAGGAGAAAAAGAGACATGTTTGACAAATTTTGAGCAGCAGTTTCATATTTCTGACCAAGTTACTTATTTTCTCCATTAGGAAAACAGTGCAAATTCCTGAATAGATTTCAAAATGTTGTGTTATATTTAATTATCGTTATTATTATTTTTTTTTTGCCTGTCACAATCTCTATGCCTCGGTCTAAACTCTCCGTTTTTCTCTCTATTTGAGATGGTGAATTATTTTTATTATTATTATTTCATAATGTTGTGGTATTGTTCTAATATATGAATCTAATTTGTACAATGAATTAGAAATATTTGTAATTTTTATTGATAATAAGGATGTCGCAATAACGTTGGCACAATGAAAAAGATTTACCAAAACATAAATTTACCAAAACACACACGTAGATCCACGCCCAGTATCGCACATTAGCGGTTATAAAAAAAACTAACTAATGAGTGGTAATTGACTATATTGAGTTTGACTATATTGAGTTTGAGTTTCAAATGAGAAGTAGAAATTATTCTCTTTGTAGTTCCTAATCAAATATCAGCGCCAAGAATTGTTGGCATTTTTTTTATAATAGAAAAGATTTAAATAATCCATGCTAAAAGACATTCTTGGTAATAAGCAAATCCCTTGTGAGTATTTAGAACCTTCTGCCTCTTCAGTTTCTGTAGATTCTTATTCTCTTACAAAAATCTATTTTATTATTTTTTTAATTTTTCTGTAAATCTTCTCAATTTTTAAGTCACTTGGCTATGTTTAGAAAAATCTACGGAGTTCTTTTAAAATAATGAGCCCAAGTGTCTAGATGCCTCTAGATGCACATTTCATAGAAATTGGTCGGTTAAAATGCCTATATAAAGAGAGGAGATGTGTTATTTGTTACTAATTTTAGGAATAAGACCGCTTTGTTAGTAATTGATTTTCAAATTCATGGGCATGAAGTATGGGGTGTTGCTACGGAGCTTTTAGGTGAGAGTATTTAGAATGGATCACAAAAATTTATTACTGTCGAACTTTATTTTTTTAGTATCCAAAATTACAAGAACGAGATCAAGAAATCGCTAAATCAAAAAAATATTAATTAATCAATCTAAAGCAAAAATATATTAATTAATCAATCACTGGATTTTATGTATGATTTTTGATATAAACATAAACTACTCGAAAAGGGCCAATTTATGAACACATTTACTAGGAGTTCCTTAGTGGACAAAATATTTCTGCTTTCAGCCTTTCCTGTAATTGTTGATAGAAATTTTCTTTACTCGTACATGCATTTACATCTTGCAATAAAACAGACAAATTCAAGTAACAAAATAAACCTATAGCATTTGAAATTAGAATAAGAGGACATGAAGCTGAACCATCATAAACTTAATTTTTGACTATTTAAATATTCAAAAATGATATTAATGTTATAGTGGTTGTTTTGATATATATATATATATATATATATATATATATATATATATATCGTAGCACAACGGCATAAATGAGAAGAAATTTGAATCATAAAAGCTTATATTCTCGACCATCAATTTGAGAAGTGGATATATATTTTGAGCTAAAAGTTTGAAGAGATTTTTAAATGAAGTGACGGAAAGGCAAGGCATGGCATGGCATGTCATGTTCTATTAAGTAATAGGTTCCTTTCCTGCATAGTGTGTGTGTTGGGTTCAATGCCTAGTGTAACAACTACATTACTTTGTTTATAACCTTTTTCATCCGTCTGTTACACTACAATATATTTCATTGCACTATTGATATACTCCAAGTAATTTATAATAATCAAGATAAAATCTTAATATTTGGTTGGCTTGGGAGCTTGGCTACATCATAGCCCATAACTTTTGGCTACAAATTATTGGGTAAATTTTTACGTTCATTCGTGTCATATTGTCTAAGTAGTTGAGTTCTTCTTCGCGTTCGAGAGCTTGTATTTGAGCCTTGCACCCTCCTCTTTCTCCTCTCTAACGATTATTAACCCTTAATATTTTTGCTATGAAAAAACAAAAAAAAAATGAATAAGAAGGGTTCTAATGTTCAAAATTTTTTTTTTTTTTTTCCTTTCCAAAATCAAATTCAATCTCAAAATTTGAGTCGAATTCTTTGAATTTAAATTTGTAATACAATTCTAATAAAGTAAAGAGAAGTCATCACCAACATGCCATTGGCCTAGCGATACCAGACCTCTACTTTCCAAAGTATGATCAGGAATTCGAGCCTCCATAGAGGCACGTGTGTGTGCGTGTGTGTGTAAGTACTAACTAGAAAACAAGAAGTAAAGAGAAGTCGCATTTTGTCCTTCTAAAGACCAATAAGTTGTGTAAGTAATTCAAGACCATCTAATAACTTCATATAAAGATGACTATGGTGGTCTTCTTATTTATTTTTTGTGAAACATTTGAATGTGTTTTATTATCTTTGTTCAATTAAAAATTTAATGAATATTACTTCTCAAAGTTCTTTCTAATTTAACCCCAGCGAGTTGGCTTTAGTGGTGAAGCCGTGGGACTTAGTGCCTTGTGAAGCATTAAGTCTTATGTTGAGTGCGATCAATTCCTTAGAACCACGATTATAGATGTAGTTTTAGTTTTACCTGATTCGAGTCTGGAAATCGAAAAGAAAAAAAGTTCCTTCTAATTTTTAGCTTAAAAATTATAATTGTTGAATTTGATTGAAATGGTTGGAAACTCAAAATTTTGATTTGACATGCAACTTAGTTTACAATTGTACTTCTAAGAATTTCTAACATGTGAAAAGTGGCTATATTTGCTATTATTCATAATTTCTCTCCTTAATTCTGATATCCAGAACTCATGAGAAAAAAGATTTTTTTTCATAAAAGAAAATAAAGTTGCAAGCCTACAACTACAATGGTTTTTCTTTTTTTTTTTTTTTGTAGTAAATGTCCAACTAGTGTGAGTTTCGTAGTATTGGTGATAATTGTGTAGGTAGTTCTAAAAGTAGATCTGATGCCTGTAGAAGGACACGGGTGTGTCATTTGTAACTAACAACCCCTAGGACTCAGAGAGCATTCTTCTTAGATTTATGGCCACACATTCATGGAAAAGTAAATCCATGTTTGTTTGTAATATCAAACACCAGTAATACTGCAATACCTCAAACACGATGGAAAACCAGACCGAACAATAAATAGCATGCAAACTCGATGAAACTAAAATACAAGACAACGCAGTGAGAGGTAGGGTTGCAAAAATATCCTTCCCATACAAAAAAATATCTTGTGACACCCATCTCCCTCCAAATGATGAAGCAGCTCATTATAGCTGACTTTCATTATTGGATTGTTTCAGACTTCGTAGACAAAGTACATGTCGTCAACACAAACAACCATTAATGCGGACATTGCTACAACATAGTAATACGGGTCAAAAGAGACCCCTCTTGAACTCTTCACTGTAGAAAATCTATGGTGTCTTACGGTTTCAGAAGTGAGAGTTAAAAAATAAATCAATCAGAAATACCAGGCGTCCGAAGGAGACAATACATTGCCAGTGTCTTACTCAAAAAGAGCAGAATCGATTCAAACTCAACTTCCAACAACTGGTTGTATAAGAAAATATCAACAAACAACAATGTCCAAATATTCCATTTACACAACTTGTCTAAGTTCCCAACAGTATTTCCAATTAAAGTACAAGGTTCCCACGTAGAGAGGGAGCAGACGGATAGCAAAGAACTCCCATGTGAAGTAAAGAAAGGTTTTACTGGTTATTAAGTGTTGCTGTTTCTCTAGAATTGCATGCAGTAGAAGGGGTGTCATATATTCAGCATTGATGGCCCAAACTTTTGCATTGCTGAGGAGCTGGTCATCTAAATTGTGAGCATCGGTATTTTCTGGAGGTGGAGATGGCTGACTTTCAGGGGAAGGGTTTCCGGAGCTTCCCACATCATCCTCCTTTCGTGCATCATCAGCATCTTCTTTTCCATCATCTTGTTTGCTGGAACTCCCGTCATTACCATCCTTCGGAATGCCAGGGACTAAGTCTGGCCGAGCTTCAACGCCTGCTCGTCTCAGGTGTAGCTGTCACATTTCAAATACCAATTGAGAAATACCAGCCCTGCAATTAAGAGATGGATGGAAGTGAGATAAACTTTATACATCTACCTGGAGATGAAGATTAACTTCATCTGGACGTGAAAGAAACGGAAAATCGCCCCCCGTCTTCAAGTATGCTCGCCTTGCCCCAGGGTACCTTTCACCCACTTGATCTCTGAGCTGTTGAGGGATTGCACAATAATCGTTTGTCTTCAAGGAGAACGTACCCATGCCATAAAAAATAACAAAACTGTCAGCAAAGTTTCTTATATTATTCTTGAACTCGGACTAGAAAAAGACCTGCAAATAATTATGAGATTGCAGACAAGAAGAAAACACTATTAGAATTTTTAGCATTTAAATGGGGGGGTGGGGAGAAGAACATCATGATTTTAGTGCACAAAGAAGTAACACGAACTTGAGACTATTACACTCGGATTGTTATCTTGGTAAACTGAAAATTTAGGTAATTATTATACTAATAAGTTCATAATGGATCATATGCACCCATTGTGCCCCCTAATAAATATCTGATCTGATTGAGACCTTTAGGAACTTAAAATGCCAACACACAACAGTTAAGTGTTAAATTTTAAAGTTTTTAAAGGTATTTTATTTTTCGCTTTCCTTTCCTTTTTCAAATTTATTATTATTATTATTATTTTCTAGGTAAGCAATAGGGCTCCAACCCATCATCTCCTAGTAATTTTAAGTGCTTTAAGTACTAGAATTGCGATTTTTGATTTCATTTAAGGGTAAATTTTGCTCAGTTCAATTGAGACTTTAAACATATTATTACTCAGCATATTAAATGATAAGTGAACTTTCACTCACTTAAAATGATATGATAAGTGGACTTATTCTATTAAGTGATACTCAAATTGTATTATCAAATCCATTTAATTATAAACTCCCTTGACATGTTCTGTTTTAAGGGTAAATTGGTTTATCAACAACACCACCTTAGTGAAGTGGATATATTGTCGTTTAATTTTAAGGCAACTTCAAAAATTAGAAAGTAAGTTGTACTAAAAGTGAACCACTCAACTATACATCTTGAAATGATTTGATGCAGCAAGTACAGACCACATTTACGAAAATTGAAAGAACATATTTTTTTCAATTAAACAAAAGAACCATAAACTAGTCTATAGAAGACAATTTGCAATCGATACTTGTTCATAACAATAAATTGATTCATGTAGGAGTTATTGCTTGCAGCTTCTGAATAAGATCTATTTCTCATCCTTTCTACAATGACTTTTATGCTAAACCACTTTCAAGGTTTTCCAAACATTGTAGCAAAACTTCAGAGATCGGCTTGCAAGTCATACAGCAGCAGCCTTGCATTTCCTAACAAAGGTTTAACATTCAATGAAAATTTTCCAACCAATTTCCTAGTGACCCGCACTAAGATTTTGGAAGTTTCAATCAGTATCAGAAATTTAATTAAAAAATGAAATAAATAAGAAGCCGATGTTTTATATTATAATATCTCCAATCAATATAGATGTTTTGGTACTTTAATTCTCATTTTGTATACAAAAAGAAAAAGGACTATGTTGTGTGCTTGCATAAGTGTGTAAATGTACACTAGCACAAATTTCATATAACTTACATCTATTAGTGTGATAAAAGAATCAGAAAGCAGAAGAGGTCCAACTGAAGCAGCATCAACTGTCAAAGTCAACCTGGAGGCCAAGTCCTCCCTTGAGAGTGTTTCAACCTGTATGGTATATGGACACTTAACTAAATAGAATATAAAGAAACATATCTTAATAGGCAAATAGGCTCTGCAGTTGCCAAGATAAGAAGTAGAGAATGCAAATGAGAAATAGCAATAGCGGGGTATTCAAAAAATTTGACTCTCTCGCCTTCCCGGTTGGGAGAAGGGGCAGCAAGATGGCCCAATTTTGTAGTTTTCTATAAAAAGAAAATTCTGGCATGGAAGGGAAAAGAAATTGAGAAGCAGCCAAAAAAACCAAGAATTACACTGCTTATAGATAAAGTAGCCATTCATACATAAAAGAGGCTATCAGCCACCATCATACGGAATAAAAGATCAATTTCTGATAAAGGATGCCGAAGATGATTTTCAGTGTGTATTTCTGTGCCTCTAATCCATATAACAATGTATAAGTTTCCAGTAAATAATTCCACTTTTTCAGTGACTGGAGTTTAACTTCAGGTCGAAGTTAAAAATGTTGTGTAGTTACAATTAATATACTAATTTAAAACAAAGTTGATTGAAATTAGAGACCCAGGTGCACAAACAAGTAAAATTAGTACAATTGTGTCAATGACACAGTTAACATATTTATCCAAACTATACTGTTGAAAAAGAAGAAAAATAACAAGATGTAAAAAATCTTAAAGAGTGTTGTACCACATTTGGAATCCCAAATGGAATACCTATAATTTAGCCATCACTTTCGCTTTGCTTTCAGCTATTAAAGAAGAAAAAGGCAAAGGAATTTTTCGTTTCAAAAGTAGCAAACAATTCTACTTTGGTAAATACATTCCTTAGAATTCTGAAGTAGAAGTAGCTGCAATTTTTTTAGATTACAAGCTAGCGTATGAGTCTCACTCCATGGTATTAATTAATAGAAATAGACGACCAGAGGGAAGACTGCTTAGGCACATGTTACAGATAACTAGTAAAGTGTCCACTCTAATCCAAGCAGACTGTACCTGGGAAACAACAAAGTCCACGGAATCTGCAATAAATGGTTCATGGGGACCATCGCGAATCCCTGTTAAGACATATCGTTTCAGCAAAAAAGAAGGTGTCCAACCAACACTGCAAAAGAAAAAGCCCACAAGTTAATTTGTCAGAATATGTACGTCATACACTGAGATACAGAGACAGCCCCCAAGGAATGTGGTCTAAGCATTAACATAAACCTGGCTGAAGGATCCAAGAATATATATGAGGCAGATCTTAAAAATAGCATGTGCATATACAGACTTTTGAGAGACTTTGATTATAATTAGTAATAATTTTCAAAAAACTAAATTCAAAAGCAGAAAACATAACCAAGAGTCATTAGTATAAAACTAACAGGAATTTTAAGAATGAAATGCTTAATTGAAAAATGTCCACTATAATTTTCCATGAAATAATGGATAAAGAATCTCAATCAAATTGATCATGTTAGCTAATCCTAAATTTAGATTTAACACAAATTAGTTCAGAACAGCAAGAGGAAGCGAAAAAGAGATATAGAAGTGAGTAAGTTGGGATCTAAAACTGTGATGCCCACAAATTACCTCTGGTGTCATAAATATTTTGTTATTTAAAGGATGCTATAGATACTGATTTTTGCCCAATCCCTTAACCTGGTCAAAAACTCCTTACTCAGATTTCATAAACTAAAAAATCAATGCGATCGAGGAGTCCCAAAGGTTCTGAATCTAGCCCCATGGTGGAATGCTATCATCATTCATCATTTTAAGTCAGGATCACCGTCTGATCCTAGATTTAATCTTAAATCAAATCCCAATTCAAATACTGTACACCATGTTTCAATCCCCATCAAGTCAAAATCATGCATTAAAATTACTTGAAGGATTCAAAACATCTTTTTACATAACAATTCATCAAGTTGCAGCATTTGTCCAGATCCACCCAGTTTTGACCAATTTAACAAATTAGGGTATCAGGCCTACACCGTTCTCGATATTTGCTCTCAATCATAGATTTTCATTAAATTCTTTACAATCAACTTTTCCATACTTCAATTTCAACTCATTTGACCCTTAACAGCCACAATCTGTCAAAAAACCACTTGAGTCAACAGATTGCGTTAGAAAGTTCCAGAATGGTCAAAACGCAAGCCTAAGTTTCGTTCTATCCCCTGAAATTCTGGATAGACACCAAAACAGTACATTCTTATCACAAAACGTTGTACAAATCCAAAACACCAAAAAAGACCAAAAGTTGTACCACTTTCACCATAAAGTTGTACCACTTTCACAATACAATCTGTCAAAAAATCACTTGAGTCGACAGATTGCATTAGAAAGTTCCAGAATGGGCAAAATGCAAGCCTAAGTTTCATTTTATCCCCTAAAAGTCTGGATAGACACCAAAACAGTAGATTTTTATCACAAAACATTGTACAAATCCAAAGAATAGGAAAACACCAAAAAAGACCTATTTTACACATTACTGCATTGGAAACCAACCCCCCAAACCCCCTCCTCCCAGGGCAAAAAAAAATGAAAATTGTCTTTGTTTGGTTTAAACAGCTCTGAATCCCTCTGAAGTCTTCTGGGATCCCTCTCAAGTCCAAAGCCTCCAAGCACTCAGACCAGCCATCTTCAACCCTAAACAAGTTTCCAATTCACCATTGAATAGCTAAAAAGAAGATCCAATTCCCTGAATGAGTCCAAAAGCCTTGAAAATTGAGCAGATTTGAAGTAGTGTTGGTGTTTAACTTGCAAATCAGACATGAGGAGACAATGCAGTATCCTTTAATCTCTTCTCTCATTTTCTACTTCCCCTTTCATTTTCTTTTTGGAATTATGATTATGGTTTTTATCTTTTGATGCATATCTCTCCATCTACTACTTTTTTATTGCATCTTTTTTGACCTATACATGTGTGTATCAAAATATCTTCACTTGGAGGACTCTCCATGATGATGGTATCCTTGGGGGATTTAAGCACATACAGGAAAGGTAAGCAGTTTTTTGGTCTAATTGTTTTCAACCATAGGACCCATTTAAGTTTTTTATGCTAAAAACTATTTTAAAGCCTGTGTGCATTCATATGGATAAATTTTGCTTTTTTAGACTACATAGTAAATAAGCCTTTCTTAAACAAATTAAACTGACAAGAAGTCCACTTCCTAAGGCAAAACTTTGCCAGATTTTAGTAGACTTAATATTGACATGACCAAAGGCGTAAGTTTACCGTTTTGACCAATTTAGATAGATGTCCAGCATATTTGCTATATGTTTTACCACTGGCTTTAGAAGCTTTTAGGTCTCTTACCATGACCATAGCCTTAATTCACAGCTAGAACTCTTGCAAAATAGAGTTAATAAAGCCATTAACATTAACCATATTGCGTACCATAGGAAGGACCACTTTTTTCATAGGTTTTTCTAGGATTTTTAGGTAGGTTTTCACCTCTCATTTTAGTTTTTAAGTCCCCATAAAACCCCTAGAAGTAAACCATAGAACAAACTCTGTCAGAATTTTGGTATAGCTTGTCAAAATTGTCAAATATGGTGTTTCTAATTTCTTTAAAAATTTGTAATAATTTTGCCATTTTTCCAACACTTCTAAAGCCAATTTTTTTATGAAAATTTAATTTCGATTGCCCACATCAAATTTCTAGGTTCTCTTGCAAAGCAAACTAGTTGTACTTTTTTAGGCGTTTTAGGTCTTCTAGCTTAGACATGTTTTTTGTGTCATTTTTTTTAGTTATTTTTAGGCATATTTAGGCTTGATAGTTTGACTTCAACATCACCTTTGAGCCCTAAGCATAGCCTTAAATTGGTATTCTGCCAGTATTTCGGTAAAAGATGTCAAAATGATCAATTTGCATGTTTTAGGGTCTTTAGGACAACCATTATTTTTAAGACTTTTTCCAACATCTTTGGAACCGTTTTTACCATCCAAAACTCATTTTCGTGTCATTTTCTTTTAGTTATTTTTAGGCATATTTAGGCTTGATAGTTTGAATTCAACATCACCTTTGAGCCCCTAAACCATAGCCTTAAATTGGTAGTCTGCCAGTATTTCGGTAAAAGATGTAAAAATTATCAATTTGCATGTTTTAGGGTCTTTAGGACAACCATTGTTTTAAAGACTTTTTCCAACATCTTTGGAACCATTTTTACCATCCAAAATTCATTTTCAGAATCAACAGAAATCCTTTTGGTCAACCTCTAAAAAATCTGCCAAAATTACAATAAAGTACACTGAGTTCACTGTTTTATGTGGTTTGGATTCTAGACTTTGGCACATTTTTGTTATCATCTTTGTTATAGGATGTTGTGCAAATTTTCACCTTTAAATTTTATTTTCATATGCTCCATAAAGTCCTTGGGTCATGTCCTAGGAAATGGATTATCTCCAATAGTTTTTTCTCCAAGTATCTCCAAGTCATAATCCAACGGCTATGAACATGCCACGTCATCACTTGTGCAACTACCTACTATGTTATGGTTACATAAACAACTAAATCATAACAAAAGTGATGACGTGACATGTTCACAGTCATTGGATGATGGCTTAGAGATACTTGGAGAGAAAACTAAGAGAGGATCCAAATCCATGTCCTTAGCTATTGTTTTCGCTAAATCTTTGAACGTATTCACTAACATATTCAACTTGGTCACTTTTGGCACATTTAGGATTCAGTTTATTTTACCTTTTAGGGTCATAGGATTCTAGTCAATTTCATTATGTTGGGTCATTTTTGCATTCCTAAGAACCAATCATGTAGCCTACATAGTCAAAACTCTGCCGGAATTCTAAAATGTCTAGAACCAATCATTTTGCATTCTACATAGTTTAATTAGGCTTCTAATCCACATAGGGTTCAAGCTCAATTGAGAATTCTAGTTCATTCAAAGATCTAGTTCAATTAGGAGTTCATAGACTATTATAGAATTTCGCTTTATTCAAAACTTCATTCCATCATAAATTCCATTCTCCTAAGAAATCTAATGCATTAAGGAGTACCATTTATTACAAGTTAAGAGTCATTTGAGTTCTAGTCTTACTAGGACATTGTCACACACATTATTTTGGTTTATGGGATTTAGACATTCTTGACCATGGTCGCATCACATGTTTCACATGGATAGCATTTAGAAACCTTCTCTCTTTCCATGTTGTTACGCTATGAAAATCTACATTTTGTTCTACCCTACCAAATGATTAGGTCAATACACGATCTCTAATATGCATGAGGTTAGATCTGCTACATGGGTCTAGTCTTATTTCTAAAATGCAAAAACAATAAAGAATCTCATATGATTCTATATACAAAGGGTGCCATTGGTGCAATGGTAAGGTTGCTCCATTGTGACCTTCTGGGCACGGATTTGGCCCAAGAAACAACATCTTTGTATGCGGAGGAAATACTACCAACATCTGATCCTCCCCCGACCCCACAATGGCAGGAGCCTCACTGATTGGGCTAGCCCTTTATATGGTTCTATGTATACAGTAAAGAGATCACGTGAAATAATTTGGTAACTATACATAAGTATGTTCACCATAAAGAAGGGGGGACAATGCACAAGTATGAATATGTGAGGTGTCTGACACCTTCTCCATATATAATCATTACTTTGAATTCACTAATTTAGCTTGTTATAGCACATAGATTCTATTACGTACATTGGTAACCTAACACACCGAAAACCGATGTTACATGAAGACTCTCTCAAGTTACTTAATCTCATTCCGTGTCATCAAATTAGAATTTTGTTCCCCCCTAGCATCTTCACCATTGAGCCTCGTGCATTGAGCTAGCCCTGAAATGGTATAAAAACAAAAAAGTGCCAAAAGGGAGCATAACATACAAAAGTACCAAAAAAAAAAAAAAAAAACAGCTAGACTCCTAAAATAATATACATTTCTACAAAAATTAACAAAATCAATAACACTATCTTAAATTTATGTGAATGAGTCTCCTTCTCTGTAAATATAAACAATCCCTCTCCTAGAAAGTGCACCAAAGGAAAACACAACTAACAAGCATTCTTCTCCTACCAACCAAATTATCAAACATCAATATCTTCCCAAGTACACCCTCCCCCCCACCACAACACACACACACCCCAAAACCCAAACATAAAAAATAAAAAATAAAAAAAGGAAGAAAAAAGCAAACTTGGATGGATCTTCGAACACCATATTACATGCCATTGCAATGTAAGGATCTCACCCCAAACTGAGCTTTCTACCTCAAGCATCTTCATTCCTCATAATCATGCTAATAGTGCAAGTGCTGAAATTAACTTCCAACCATGTACTCGTTGGTAAGGCAAGGGTCCATGCAACCCCTCCATCAGCCAGGAAGGCCTTATTATTTACTGAAACCCCAAAATGATCTTCAGGAACCATCTCCACAGCAATATCCCCACACCTAATACCATGACAGAACTACACCCTTAAGCCACCATGCATGATGACATCAACATTCTTATCAAACACCTGCCACCTTTCCTATTCCACCTCACATTTAAGATTTCAATGCTGCAGGCATATAGAGGCTTGAGATGTTGCAGAGGGATTTTAATTTGGGGTGAAGGGGAGGTTGTTAAGGCATGAATTCAAGTATTATTTGTTTGACTGGGAGGTTTTCTCATCAAGGTACCACTCCGTAATCAAACCCACCCTTCTATAGAAGTTACCTTTCTCATGGCATATCTCCACAAGCATTCTACCAACAAAGCTTGGTCACATAACCTTAGATTTTAGCCCCACCCCTCCAACCTTGACGAGAAAACCTCATTATCAAACAAAGGCTACTTAAACTCCCTTAACAAAGCCCTCCCTCCATCCCAAGATAAAATCTGTCTATAACATCTCAAGCCTCTATGCCTCCCGCATCGAAATTGTACATCCAGACATGAATTATGCAATAAGGCCATATTAGGTGCTTTTAATCAAAGTCATCTTACCACTCAAAACAAATATTGTTTCTTCACCTCGCCACTTTTCTTTGAACTTCTTCACTGCTGAACGTCAAATTACTTCGATTTAAATGACAAGCCGAGAGGAAAACCTAAATCCACACCATCATCTCTCTGATTGGGATAAGCATAATCTTTTGTAGTTTCAAATTCAACAACAATACAGAGCTTCAAAACACAAAAGATTACATCTAAAACTTCCGAGTGCTCCTCTTCAGCATTGGAAAAAATTAGTGCAATCAACATAAGAAAAGGCAAGAGATTGAGATTTTCACTCCTCTAGAGTCCACAGTCATCAAGCAGAAAACCTCTAATTACAGCCTGTCTACTACCATAGTGTGCATCCTAAAGGCGTACACCAAGATGAAGAGTGAAAAATTGGACCCTTTGCTGGAAGCCCCTTGAGCTACTAAAGAAACCAGTTGAACAAACGTTTAGGATAGAGAACCTAGCTGAAGAGATACATACAAATTTGAATTTTCTCTAAATAGTAAAACCATCTTAGAATTATATTACTTCTCCAGAGGAGAATAAGAATCTACATGAGTTGCTAGATCAGACAAAGGTATTTCTTCAGATTATTTAGTTTAATTAAATCAGGGAGCCGTTTCTCCAAAATGAATCACTTCTTAGAATCATGACTGCATGTAAAATCTTATATTTGAATGGTTTCTCACTCACATGTGACTTGAACTTGAATTTAGTCTAATGCATTTCATGATAACATATACGAACAATACTAGTACTAAGCAGCAAAAACTAATAATAACAATAGCCAATATATAAATCATCAATGAATACAATAATGCATCATACAAAAGCAATTTGATTTTCTCTAACTAAAAGGGCAATTTTTAGTCATTTCCAGCTCGTACACAGTATTAAGTAATATGAAAACATACATGGGAGCCCATGGCATCGCAGCTGAGAAACTACTTGTCTCCAAAAATGAATTTGAGAGTACCAACGACCTAACCCGCCGAGGACGATGTTGGGCAAAAACTTGTGCTAAGAAGCCTCCAAGAGATGTACCATAAAGATGTATCTGTTAGGCATTGATTCATCAGCCTACTCAAGCTATCAGGAACAACTTCCATTACAATTTATGCAAAAATATAACAAGGAATCTGCCTTTCCAACTAACTGTAAAGAAAACACATCTTCCCAGAAACCTGAAATCAAGCGCTTCCATGTCCTGTGTTACAAACTGCAGTGTCGTGGTAACTAGCTAGATCTTGTCGTGCACCAATTCAATATTGTATAACCATACAGTGGTCCAATCAGCTATTACATTAGTGTGGAAGTCATTATTCTCTCAGGTGAATTATGATATTAAATGGGATTAAGGTCCTAGAATCGTAATGTGTTTACATTGTTTAATGTGAAAAAAATTGACACCTCAGCCAATTGTAAAATTTTTGAACACCAAAATTGCAATTTTAATGTCCAACTGTTTACAAGACAACAAATGGGGCACTTTTCTCTGGGAGCAATAATTAACAAAATAAAATCCTGCGGTAATATATTGTAAAATCCTGCGGTAATATATTGTTGGAGATTTCTTTTATGAAGTTAAATTATACACACTTATTTTTTTGTTTTTGTTTTTTTTTATTTTGGTACTACAGTATGCCTCTTCCGGATATTTGATACCCACCCCTTCACATGTATCAAATGGAAATCTATTAGACACTCTCAACCCTGCCATGCACCACCATAATATGCAGTATGTCACATGGTCAACTCACCACACAACACCCTATAGTGATGATTCTCTATTCTCCATGAATTTGTGGATACATCTCCACAAGATGTGTTGTCCTACAAAGAAGGTAAAATCACCATTATGCTCTTTACTTGCGTTAGTCACTCAGTCGATGCACGCAAAAAGCCCCAAAATTTGACAAACTGGCCAGAGCAAGGTTTCACTCATATAAACCACTGGCAACAGCAATCTCTGCCACTGCGCACTCTACAACTGCACAAATGGCTATCTCTACTATTGCAGGAGCCGCACAAGCTCCAGCCCTGTAGTTTAATATCTTCATCCCTCATGGTTTAACAGCACCAATCTTCGGCTACAGGATCGGTTCTCTTCTATAAAGGATCTACATTGCCTCGCTCTATCATATCAACAAGCCACCTCAGCATACATGCATCTTGACAATTCTAATACCCTACTGACATGGGAGCAGTCCAGGGAGCTCCTAAAGCTCGGTACAAAGCCATGGAGTGAGCTCAACGTAGCACCATGGTGCATCTAAGATCCTAATGGTTTGTAGCTTGGTAAATGGAACTGAGGGTTCGCAAGGTGTTACCTCAAGAATTTCAGAGAGAGACACCAGGTTACCTTCAAAAACCACATATTTTCTCCTATGGCATGGCAGAATATCCATTTAACCATAAAATTACAGCACGTGATGCACTAGTTTACTATTCATTTCCGTATTCTCAAATAGATAGCGGGTGACCCATACTGCAATTCTAGAAGCAACCACGACAAGAGCACAGTGGATGAATTCTGGTGAACATATATTGAAATAACATTATGAGGCCCGCAATGAACTCAGAGTTTCCTTGGTTTTCTCCATGAATACCACTCTCTCTCTCCAAAGGCCACCACAGTTTTCACCCTAAGCTAAACTGGGATTTCCATCATTCTACATGTAATGCCTTCAACACAGTGACAGAAGTCAAAGAACCCAACTCCTCACAATCACACAAATATTCATATTATCCAAGTTTTAAATTTGAAAAAGAAATGACAGGTAAAAATTACCAACCACGAAAAACCAACCGTGAAATTATTGGTGGCTACTGAAGCAAATGTTTCAGCAAATTTCATATTATTACTGATTGCCATATACAGGACAATAATCATGAATCAACTAGTCAAGGCAAAAAGATAAAAGAGAAGGGCCACTCAAAGCTAGGGGCACTAAAATCACAAGAGCAAATTTTTTACCATAACCATCAACATCTTTCTTTGATAGGTGACAGAAAACTTAAACATTTATGCCACCAGGAGTCATAGTAGCAAATAAGAAATATTAAATAATATATCAGTTGTCAGTAAATATGATATTAGTAGTCTCCAACATGCACCATGTTGGCATGTTTAAGAAAGTCTAGAGTTGTAATTTCCCCATACATAGCCCGCCAAGTAAATCATAAAACCAGCGAATAGCTAACAACATCAAAAAAATAAATTTTCCTAACTGATACCTTTCCTTTTTCTTCCCTTGAGTTCTCCAAAATGTCAAGTATCCTAAAAATGGCTATATTCATATCTTTCCTACATTTCTCATCTAACTGTTGGAGCTTTGACATGAAACTTAGTTACACTTCACTGGCCCTCTGCCATGATCCCTATTCAAGAAGATAAACACCTTAGTAGAACATATGGTCCTAAACAACTACTTTCTGGTGACTGTCATAGTTTTAACTATCTTCAGTTTTCCAATCAACCTGCTTTTGAATAGAACATAAAATTTCTCCCTGTGCTCTCAGAAATTGATGCTTTGGAAATGGAATAAAAGATGCATATGAGAAGTTCGTGCAGAAACCAAATAGAAACTTACATGGTGAACATCAATAGCATCCAGAAACTTCTCAAATGCTTGAATCCACTCAAGATGGTTCCATACACGAGGAATGTCAACAGAAATTACTCGATAACCCTTCAAAAGGAGAAAAAAGAACAAACAAATTACTCCAAGAACCAACATATGGAATCATTAGTATCAATCACAATAAAGGCACATAATTCTTGCGTTCAAATTTTTTTTATTATTATTATTTTTTTATTTATTTTGGAACACATATCCCACCCAAAAAATAGTAAAGTTTATAAATTTCTACGATGGTTACTATCCTCTCTATCTAACTATCTCCTTTTATCAAACAAACCAAAAACAATGATTGGATGACTTCCAAAGTAAAAAATGTGGAAAAGGGCAACAAGTTTTCCTTTTCTTCATACTAGAATTTCTATTCAACGAAATGTGATGGCTTCCTCTTATAATTTTTATTAGAAAAAATAAATTCCATCCAGAATGATGTAGCATTGGCATTTTTGAAACTATAAGACACACTCGTGGTCCTTTGTCTTAAAGTGATAGAAAACTAAGTCGTGGCTTATGCTAATGTCTAGGTATAAATTCTGTTTGAATGGCACTACTCAATAGAAAAAACCTCCAACCAACGTATGTTGTCTGGCATTAATCCAAAAATAGAAATATAATTAAAATTAAATTTTAAATTGCCAAAGGGTGTGGCCTAGTGGCATCTACACTACCTCCCAAAGTGGAAGGTGAGGGTTCATATCCCTATAGGGGCCAATGGGTGTGTGAGTTCTTCCCAAGGAAAAAAATAAATATCTGTAAGATGTTAGTCAAAAGACTCAAAACGCAACTGTATCTTATGATTCATTACTGTGACTTTCTATACATGTTACAAATATTTTTAAAAGCCAATTTAAAATTTTTTTTCTACAGCAAGTAATCTACCAAACCTCAAACCATGTCCAAAGAATTGAAGTACAAGTAGACTCCAAACCCAAACATGCTTGCAAGGATTGGTTTTAAAAATAAAAATAAAAGCCAATTGAGTTACTCTAGCATACTTTTGAAACTGACAGGGAAGGGGGTATTGTGAAAGGTGAAAGGAAAAGAGAACCTACTAAGGTATAAACATAATTTGTAGAACAAATATAACATAGACACCATGTTATTAGGCTTCCTACCTTCATGGACAATGCCATAATCTGTTTGTAGTATATATCTGCTGTTCCTGCTGTGGCGGGGAGACAAATAAGTGGTGGCACCACTTTTGGACCAAAGTCATAATAACGCCACTGCTTTGAACCAATCTGGAAAATAAAAGAAATTTCTAGTTGAGATAAATCAGGAATATTGCCAACTCAAGGGCAGCACCCTCGTAGGGTTACAATAGTGGAAAGCAAAATCTACAAGCAAAAATCCAAAATAGCTGTGGTTCCTTAGAATCTGATAATCTCATAAAGCTAAGCAACCAAGGAGAGTGGGATAGTAACCGGTTTTGTGAAACCTCATTTTGGAACCACAAAACATCAAGATGATCCCCAAATTACTCAAGTCCAGAGATACTACAAAGATAGCCATCTCAATTGTCAAAAGTTCCACAAGACAAATAAAATGCAATTGAAAATATGATCGATTAACAGAAAAAAATAATAATAATAAAATAAAAAAATAAAATAAAAAAAATGTATATTTCCAATAAACAATTTGGAAAGAAATAAGTTTCTGGAAGAGGTAAATCATTAGGCATTGAAATATTACTAGCAAGAGCACTTCTTGTTACAATCATAAATAAGAGCAACTGGATCTCCACCTCGGTAATCCAATTACCAAAGAATTCTCATTTTCAGCCATGTTCAAGAAATCCATCAATTCTTAATAACTAGTAAATCCATAATCCCATATATTGAACTGGTCAATCCCAACAATAAGATTCTGTCACAACATCAGCCATGTATGCTCCTCAAGGCTACTTCAACAAATACCCATCTCAAATTTATTTATGTCAATAAATAAAAGAAAGTCAATTGAACTTATAAATCACATGCATAATAATAATGACTGCCCAACAACTAAATGTTTGATAGAATAAGAGATACCCAATTACAAATAGAGCCGCAAATATAAAATACACAGTCTTTGAATGTAAAAATCAAACATACCCATCTCAAAATTCGACTAAGTAAGATTGAAAAATTAAACCCCAATACATAAAGTGATCACAGAACTTAAAATCTTTGCTCACTGAGAATTAAGAGATTAAAACTGAAATCACAGAATACCCAGTTGAAAGACGAAGCTAAAGAGTGAAACCCGTTATCCAGAATTGCAGGTAATAGGAGAAAATCAGGAGCGATACAATTGAGAGGGACTTACAGGGATCTTGTGAAGGGGGACCTGAGACTTGAAGTAGATATAATCACCGGGCGCCGAAAAGACGCCTTTCATTGCTGATCCTAACAGTGCCTATATTCGCTCATCACAATACATATGATACGATATGAGCAATTGATTGATTGATTGCTCTCTCTCTATTTTGGGTTGGTCGCGGTGGTTGTTTTACAAATTCTTGAAGCTATCAATGGGATTGACGAGGAGAGATGAATCACGTGGATGGGACCCATCACACGATTAACAGTCAAATGACCAAAACCCCACCTTCAACAACAGGTCAGCGTTATATAGTATGTGTATGCCTTTGATTATGATTATTACTCTAGCCAAATAATAATTTTCCTTCTCTCATTTTGAAAATTTTCTCAAATTAGTAATGCATTTTATATATTTTAATGAAAAACACGAATCAAATGCTCTTAACAAATTTGATACCCAAAATATATTTATTAGTGAAAGTGTGTGTAAAAAGGATTGAAAGAAACAATGAAAAAAATCTGATTAATTTCTTCCCCTAAAAGCTCTCAATCAATCTAATTAATAAACCGCTGTCACAAAAAACAACAAAAAACAACAGCTGAATTTTTTATATCAAAAGGTATTATTTTTTCTTTTTTCTTTTTTTTTCCTTGATAAAAAAAGTAATATACCCACTTGTTTCTTAATCATTACTATCCACTTTATTTTTAAGTTGATAAAAGTCTTCTTACATTACATTTCTAATCGATTGAAAGGTTTGGTTGCTTTATATTCTAGTAGTTATAGAAAACCAGAAATTATTGGGTTGTTGAGAATAAAATATATATATATATTAGAGGTCAAAAGTGGACGTTGTGAATTTAGTTTCATACCAGTATTTTCTCTGCTGTTTTTTTTTTTTATTTTTATGCATCTTGGCTAAGGCCTATCAAAGCTCCATTTTGCAATATAAATACAACACCCGTATGATACTAAATAAAATAAAATAATTTATTTTCTTTTCGCTCCTTTAATAAAATAATTTATTTTGCTTTCTTTCCTTTATAATTTATCTAAATGTTTTTTATTTTATTTTTATGTAAGTTCTCTCATACACACTTAATAAATTGCTCACTATGAGGCTGGAAATCCTCACACCTCCCAATTTTTTCATAATATTTTTTTTCATTCTGTTTATCCAAATGAAGCCTTTAGTATCGAGGAATGCCATAAAAAAGGGTCCAGTTTGAACGTGTGTAAAGTAGTGCTTAATCCTCAATTTTCTCACTGTAGCTATATTGGTGTTAGATGTCCATTTTTGGTTGCAACTATTTATTTATTTATTTATTTGTATTTTCATGAATTTTATTATTCATTGTATTTGTTTAGACTATTAATAATTGCTAATGATTCTTGAAGCCTCAATTGACACCAAGAAACATCTCTTACAACCTTTTTTTGTTTTTGGAATCTAACATTTTAGGCTATATTTGGATACATAGGATAGAAAGGGAAAAAAATAAAATAAAATGATAGCATTAGTTATTTGAAGGAAAAAAAAATGATAGCAATAATATGTATTTCATGTTTGGATAGATTGGAGAGAAAAAAGGAAATGATTGTATTCTTGTGTTAAATAAGATATGGAGAGAAAAGAAAACAAATTAAATGAAATGATAACAATTAAATTATTATCGTACCTTTTTAATTAGATGGGAAATAAGTGGAATAACAATTTCTACCTTCTAGTTGTTAAGGAGGATTTCATAATTATGAAATACTACTTAATCCTTTCCTTCATCTTATTGTGAACGACTCACACACTCTTATCCTTTCATTTCTTCCCTCGTTGTCCCTTCAAATAACTCAATCCAAGCAGAACCTAGAAAGAATGATTTTTAGTAGTATTTAGTAAATAAATTATCAAATCTACAAATGTAATAAATTACTTTTTATAAGTTTAACGTAAGAATTTTAAATTGATAATATTAGAAAAAAAAAATTCAAATGGAAAACTTGTTTTAGTCCTTTTAAAATTTGAAGTACCACTCAAATCCTTTCTTTATCATTTTAGTATATATTTATATTTTTTCTTTTTAAAATCTTGTATAATCTTGTATATATATTTCATTGCATACGGGAGTAGTAGCTAGTTTTCGGAACCCATTGATTAATAGAGAGTGATAAACATTTTTTGAGGTGAAATTTTGAGTTTGTTTTAGTCCATTTTATTTTTTAATTTTGAAAGATTAATCAATTAAATATAATAATACAGATAATTATGTGGGCTTTAGCCTAGGCTGAAAATACATGCCCATTACAATAGTCAATAGGCCAAAAGAAATGATTCAAAAAGTATGGCCATAGTAGGCCCAGAGAGATGGCCCATAGGGCAAACTAAGTTTTTAACTCTTGAAGCATCTAAGACCTTCTAGGTCATTCTACAAAAGTTGTACAATTTCTGCCGCATCGAAGAGAGAGAGAGAGGGAGTTGTGTTCTGCCGCATCGAAGAGGGAGAGAGAGAGTTGTGTCTTCGCCTTCTTCTACCTCTTCACCTTCTTTTTCAATTGCATGCCTTTATCTTCCTTTTCCTCTATGTCTCAAGATCTGCTCCATCTAATCCTCTCTGCCCTTTACAGTCTCAAGTCCTCCATCGATGTGCAGGTGATATGAGCCAAGATTGTTATAGAGAATGGATACACACACATATATATACATACATATATATCATCTTCTTCTTTCTCTTTCAATTTTTTTGTTTTTTTTTTTTTTTTTTTGAAGCTTATCGACGTGTCCTCCGGCGTGTCCCTGAGGTGTCCTGCCCGTGTCTGATCCAAAAAATAATATAAAATAATAGGGATACGTTTTTCACGTGTCGGACACGTGTCCAGAGCTTGGACACGCATGTCCGTGTCGGCCACGTGTCCGACATTGGTACGGTGCTGTATATTGACGTGTCGGTGCTTCATAGGTGTGTGTGTATATATATATTTATTTATTTATTTAACACACACATAATAAAAATCAAAAGGCTAATTCGTCACTCAATTCACAAAAGTGAGTGGAGCAACAATTTATCCGAAAGGCGACCCTTGGGACTAAGGGTGCACAAAAGAATTGTGAAACCGAAACCGTAAGAATCGGAACTGAAATCCTGGTTCTCACGATTCCGGTTCCTAAAATCAGGAACCGTCCATTTACGGTTTGGTTCCGGTTCCAATTCCACGGTTCCGATTCCGGAACCGAACCGTATATATATATTATATTTGTTAAGTATGACTAATTTAGTTATTATTATAATATTTTTCAGTGGTCACTGTGTGCCCACGTAGTCCATGTTAGTCTAGGTCATTGACTTGAGAGTCATTGTAATTTATAAACCACAAACACATCTCATCTTCTCAGACCAAACACTTTCATTTTGAAGCCGCGGCGCTGCCTCTTCTTCTCATCTTCTGTATCCGATTCGTGGTTCCGGCAGCATTGATACTTGATAGCCCACAAAGTCTCAGCCGATAGCCCAAAGCAAACCCCTAAAATTATAGAGAGAAATGGTTGGCCTTTTGCCTTTTTCACGGCAGTGCAAGACCTCGAATCAACCATATAAAAGGATCTCAGTATTAAATTTCCAGATGCCTCTTCCCACTCTTCTTCCTCTATCTCTTGATTGAGGTGAGCTGAGGTTTGGTTATGAAGTTTGGTGTTTTGGAATGTGTTGGTGGGCATTTGTCAGTTTGGGCAGCTTTGTGGGGACTTCTAAACTAGGTTCAAGTGTTTTAGATTTTATTATATGTGCTAGCTATTAAGAGATTGTGAGGAGTTTATATTTCATTTAATCTTCAGCTTGCGCGTTTAAAGTCAGTGATTGTTAATTTGTTATTATGATTGCTTTGGTTCTTGATTCAAACTGCCTCACCTCCTATAGTATTTCAGTATCAAATATTTAGTTTATTACTTGATTCAGTACATGGGATGTTATATAGATGGGGAACCGGAACCGAACCGGTTCCATTTTTCAGGAATCGTTGGGACCGATTCCGGTTCCGGTTCCACCAGGAACCGTACCAAATCTAACCGTGTGCACCCCTATTTGGGACCCCTAGCTCACACATGCTCCAGGATTAGTAACAATTGTTGCGGACACATCGAGAGGGGGCTAAAAATGTAAATATCTCTCAATTTTTACTCTTTTCTTTATTACATAAAACAAATTTCCCCGAGAAAGTGAAAGGACATTCATGGTAGTTTCTCTGTATTCTACTATTTTCTCTTTGAAAATTCTTGTAATTTCATTATATTGCCATCATACTTTTTCAGATTTGTCATTTCTAAACAAAATTTATATATTTTCTTTTGTTTTCAGGAGCTGGACCTATAAAATTTCGTGAGGGGCAACCTTTTAATTTGTTGGGACAAATTTATGTAGTGGGTCCATTTCTATAATTTCAATAGGGTTTTTTTTCATAAATTTTCAAAAATTTAAAGTATAAAATGCAAACAGAAAATTTTAGTGGGAGCAAATTATAATTTTAGCAGAGGTATCTTCATAAATTCTCAAAATTTTAAAGTATAAAATGCAAAAAGAAAAATTCAGTGGGAGCAAATTATAATTTTAGTGGGGCATCTTCATAAATTCTCTTGAAGTATTAAATAAAAAATAAAAAAAATAAAAATATAATAAAATAAATTCAGTGGGGTGAATTGTAAAAACCCGTCCGTCAAGCGTACCCATTCAACAGTTTAAACATTGTAGCCCACCCAAAAAATATATATATATATTTTTTACTATACCTAATTTTAGCCCACCTAAAAAAAATACATATTTTACTATACCTAATTTTAGCCCACCCAAAAACTTACTACTCTTAGTTTACCCAAAGAAATATTAACCCACTTTATTGAAAATTCCTGAATTTGCCCTTTGAGTGCACTGCCACACCATGCAAATCTGAACCTCTAAGGTTATGTTTGATACGGTGGGTTTGAAGGGAGATGATAACATTAGTTATGAGGGAAAGGGAAGGGAAGAATAATTTTAATCCCCTATTGTGTTTAGTTGATTAGTGAAGGAAAAGAAAGTAAAGGATAATGAACATGTTTGGGAAAAGAAAGGAAAGGAAAGTATTTTAGTAAATTTACTATTATACCCTTTTATATTTTAAAAGATAAATTTATAAATTTAATTATGTAAAATAAAAAAATATTGTTAGGGCAAATCATTTTAG